TTACATATTTTGTAAAAGATAGATTACGCAAGTATGGTCCCCATGCTTAGTAATTAGAGGCAGCTCTTGGGGCAAGATGACTTGCAACTAGGGTTTCTCCTATTTAAACTTCAGTGCCAGGTGTTTCTGTATATTCATTTTCTCCCATTCTTTTTAGTACAACCAATTAGTTTTACGTAGTAAATTTTGCTCTCAGAATCAGATCATCCACCGTTTGAGTTCTGTGTAATTAATTATACAATGCTGTTTATCTCAAAATATTGTGTGTGTTTTTTCCTTACAGTATATTACTTAGGTATAGAAAAGTAGATCAGGTAAGACTATTGAGGAAAAAAGTCAATGAATTTTGGTCTCAGGTCCATTGACTCTCAAACTTTGGGCCAGGGATGAGAAGTCTCAGCATTATCTGGGATCTAAATGCAAATTATTAAGGCCACCCTGCCACCTGTAGTTTAATGTCCCCTCTTGGTAATGAGCTAATTTTTACAAACTACTGATCAAGACTGTTTTATGCCCAAACTACAGACACACCAATTTGGCTGAATGTTTTGATACTACAATGAATGAGTCAATTGCCCTCCCAGGTTTAAGTCATTTCCACATGTAAATTCATGTCTTAAAATGTTATTTGGGGTAACTTATTTTTCATTTTCTAACCCCCCAAATGTCAGTCTTTTCATATTTCCGAGTGCTAAGTGTATGCTAATGGAAAGTGAATAAATAGATACATTTGCCTATTTAAATACTTTGTGCACTGTGTTTTACAAGTATTTGCTTGGCATTAATCAGGATACAGAGCATGTTTTCATGACAGTTTGCCACATAAAAATCAGGTGCTGCTCACTGTAGCTCACATAGCGATGAGTTGGTTTGGCTTGGTGCAACCACCTTTGGACTTGCCATGTGGGTCTTTAAAATTTTGCATAGTAAACTTCTAACCCTAAGGTGAGAGTTTAACATACTGCTTTAGGTTCTGTGATCTAGACAACAACTTATTCTGCTGCTAATTAGATAAATGGGAGAGAAAATAAAATGATTGGCCCCAGGAGAAGGAGGATTTTCCCCAGTGCACCCGGTTAAAGGGCTTCTCAGTTATGAGAGAAGTGTTGTTTTAGCTAAACACGTGCTTTGGAAATGTCTTCTCGCTTCTCTTTAGCATCACAATGGTCATCCAAAAAAAAAAAAAAAAAAGGACACCATTTACAAACCTTATCCTGGGTCCTAACACTTCAGATTGCACCAATCTCAGACTGAAAATATTTAGGAGGCAGAAAAAAAAGGATTGATTTTGTCTGTATTGAATATGTCCAGATTTCTTTTTTCCTTATTCATTTATTTTTTTGAGGCAAAAAAAAAAAAATACTTACTTTGTAAGTATTTGTCACCCTGGGTAAAGTGCGATGTCATCGTAGTTCACAGCTCACAGACTCCTGGGTTTAAGTGATTGTTTGCCTCAGTCTCCCAAGTAGCTGGGACTACAAGCACCCACCACAACACCCGGCTATTGTTAGAGATGAGGTTTTGCTCTGGCTCAGGCTGGTCTGGAACCTGTGAGCTCAGGCAATCCACCTGTCTGGGCCTCACAAGTGCTGGGATCACAGGTGTAAGCCACCATGTATGGCCCTTTTTTCTTTATTATTATTCCCTAAACAATATGGTATAACAAGTATTTACACGGCATTTATGTTGTATTAGGTATTACAAATAATCTAGAGATGATTTAAAGTATACAGGAGGAAGTGCATAAGTTGTATGCAACTACTACACCATGTTTTATCAGGGACTTGAGCATCCATGGATTTTGGTATCCCAGGGGTCCCAGAAATAATCCCCCACAGATACTGGGGAACTACTACACTTAACTGTCTGTCCAAAGTGAATTGAACTGCCAACATTCTCTCCTTTCCTATGTGTCATTTTTAGGTCAAAGGGAAAAACAAATCCCTATATTTTATAATTAAGAACAAATCACCAGGTGCCGTGGCTCACATCTGTAATCCTAGCACTCTGGGACGCTGAGGCAGTGGATTGCTTGAGCTCAGAAGTTCAAGACTAGCTGAAACAAGAGCAAGACCTCATCTCTACCAAAAAAACTAGCCAGGTGTTGTGGTGGGCACCTGTAGTCCCAGCTACTCAGGAGGCTGAGGCAAGAGGATCTTTTGCGCCCCAGAGTTTGGGGTTACTGTGAGCTATGATGCTATGGCTCTCTACCCAGGTGATAGAGTGAGACCATCTTGGAAAAAAAAAAAAAAAAAAAAGAACAAATCCCTGAGTCCTTTAGCTTACTTTAATAATAAAGCAAACCACACAAAAATATCTTACCAACAGAAGAGCCATCAGGGAACCCAAGAATGAATAACATCTCACTTCATTTCGTCAGAAGAGCCCAAGAATGAATAACATCTCACTTCATTTCGTCAGAAGAGCCCAAGAATGAATACCATCTCACTTCATTTACCTTAACTTTTTCTCTCAATGTAACTTAGCCCCTCAATGCTACTTCAACAAACTTGACCTCAGCATATCCCTTCAGGGCCCCTCTGGCCATTATTTAACTCTACAAATCTAGTGCTGCTTCTCAAATCTGTGTCCCCTCAACTTCTTTCCTAACTAAAAGATAGCAGTTAATTGGTCCCAGAACAATTATGAAAGTGTAATGAAGTTTGCATTCCTATGTGCAGTTAGGGCAAAGATGCAGGAGTGAGTGTGCACAAAATCCAGTCACCACCAATTGCTCGGAGGTGGACTCTTCTTTCAAGGAGAAGAAGTCCAAGTTCTTTTCTACCTGCCCTCGCTAGTTGACTTAGCCTGCCGTGCATTCTTAGTGGCCTTCTCAGTGTGGTCCATCTCCAACTCGTTTTTCTGTGGGGCCTGCAGCATCAGGCCAGGGCCACACACGGAAAAGCTGAGAGGTGCACATGGACGAGGACAGCCTTGTCCCCCTTGGACTTTTTCCCTTTTTTTGCTAAGATTCTAAGTCCTCTGTCATTTCAAATAAAAGTTGCCCTGTCATTTTGGAGCTATGTTCTACATATCGTCATACTTGGAAAAAAAATCTTCAATAACATACACAAAAGAAAGAATAAATGGAGTGCAGGGAAAGCCTTTAAGATGGCCCAGGGAGGCTAAGCATGTCTAGCCTGATTAATTGGCTAGTTCAGGAATAATTGCTTTCAAAGTTAGTGACAAGGCATGATTGCTAGGCCTGCAGGTGTCACCCTAGCTTCTGCCCCAGAAAAAAGGTGGGTAGGGGAGGTTGAGCTACCTGTTTGGCCTCAGTAGCCAAAAAGGATAAGCAGGTTGCATGGCCTTTTAGGAAGGAAAGGTAATAGGTAACGAAACCTTCCACTAATTCAAGAAGTAATTTTTTAAAAAAAGTTCTGTAGGGATTTTTTAACACTAGAATCTGAAAGCCGGGGGACATTAGCCCAAGGACGGGCAAAAGAGCTGGGAGGAAAAACAGCTGTATTTTTCAACACACAAACAATGCCATTGGAAGTAGTGGATTGAATACAGAAATAGTATCAAAGTCCCTAATTTGGTTTAGGTCTATATTCGTAACAGAGTAACATTAATGTCTGTCGTCTGAGCCTGTATAAATCTGAACCCCCATGTTACTGGCCAGTTGGACATAACAATGTAAATAGACCCTGTTGCCCTAATTAAGTTACATACACTGAATGCCTGGTGGAACTGCAAATATTTTAATATTTACTCTAAGCCATAAGGCTTTGCCAGATGAGCTACTGAAATTACTCTCTGTTGTTTAGAAACAGAATGCACAATAATCCGAAGGAGTTATTTGGACAAATACAAGTTTGGGAGTGAATTTTCCTTTATCATGAACTTTGGGTTATTCCTTTTGCTCTACTCCATAGAAAACTCTGAGAATAATCGGCTTTACCCATATAATGGCTACATTTTCTTTTTCTTACAACTAAAAATCCAGGAGTTGGTTATATAGTTTATCTGGGGGGAGGGAGTGGTGAGGACCATTTAGTAAGGGACAGAGAAAAATAATGTATACGCTGGAAAGATGAAAACTGTAAACAATGGCCAAGCATCGTGGCTCACACCTGTAATCCTAGCAGTGGATTGCTTGAGCTCAGAAGTTCAAGACTAGCTGAAACAAGAGCAAGACCTCATCTCTCCCAAAAACACTAGCCAGGTGTTGTGGTGGGCACCTGTAGTCCCAGCTACTCAGGAGGCTGAGGCAAGTGAATTGCTTGAGCCCAAGAGTTTGAGGTTGCTATGAGCTCTGATGTCATGGCACTCTACCAAGAGTGACAAAGTGAGACTCTGTCTCAAAAAAAAAAAGTAAACAATGAGAGCTAGAAGAATGAAACCAATGGTGTGCTCAGCAAATGACGTCCTCAGCTGGGTTTCCAGGTGCTGTGAATCCTGGAGGGTGGCATTGCTTTTTCTACCCTTGGCAAAAGCCAGGAATCAGCATGCTGTCCTATCAGTTCCAGTTAACAGTAAGGTAGAAAGTGTTCAAAAGGAAGAAGAGAACGTGCAGTAAAGGACATTCTTGGGCGGCACCTGTGGCTCAAAGGAGTAGGGTGCTGGCCCCATATGCTGGAGGTGGTGGGTTCAAACCCAGCCCTGGCTAAAAAAAAAAAAAAAAAAGGGACATTCTTTAATGTAAGGGACTGTATTTCCACCGTGAGTAAACACTTCAGGGTTGAGGCACTGAGTTGTTAACTTCAGGTAAATAGTGAGGGGATTGTAGTTAAATTGATGCTTTAGAAATCGTTTTAAGAGCATATTACATAAAATACATTAATGCATATTTCAGTAAAAAATACCTGGTGGCCAAGACAAAAGTGGAAGATGAGAACCTTTAAGCAAAACAGCTTGACGCTCCTGGGCCAAAACACAACTGTATTTACAGTCAGGAAAAACCAACATTTGTTTCCTAGGCGGTGGATAAGGGGAACTGAGCAGGTGTACAACACCGCCCCAGCACCTGTTCTTCCCGTGATTAAAGCCTGAATGCCCCCTGGATGCCCTGTGGGAGCATCATTGGTGCCGAGGGTTCAAGTTCTTCCCTGTGAAGCTTTAAGGTATTATCCGGATGAGGGGATGTGGCCCAGGACTTGTTCATCTGACCCCAACATCCTATGACAAACACCCCAGCTGATGCTGATGGTGAGAAAAGAGGGGTTCATTTTAAAGTCACCGGCCCAGGGGCCCCTGCAATTTCAGATGTTCTGGGACTGGAACTCCTCCTCCAACAAACTCTTTGTTTTGAGAAAGGGCAGGGTGGGGCCAGAAAACCTTACAGTGGAGCTAGGATGGATGAGATTTTCTTTTATTTGAGATTTTGTCACTTGAGTCCGGTTTCATGAAACAGCATGTTGGAAAACAGAGGCTGCGTTATACCCAGTGGATTGCGCTGGAAGAGCCGAGAGACCAGGTTGTGGGTCCCTGCCTCGGGCAGCAAGCGGGGGCAAGCCCGGCCGCCCGCAGAGCTACTAGCAGGAAGCCGCTTGCCTGCTGGAGCCCATCACTTCAACTCCGCCTTTCGGGTCGCTAATTCCCAGAGTGGTAATAGATGGTAATAACACGGGTGGGGGGAGGGAGGGAGCAGAGGCCGGTCGTGCAGAGGAAATGAAAGAAAAGAGATCTGCGAAACTACATTTGCAAGAGGAGAGTCGAGTCGCCGGAGTTGCAGCGAAACATCTAGCAGATGCAAATAGCCAGGCAGAGGGAGGGGAAGGCGCTGGGCTTAAGCAACCTGCTACGGGGGTTTAAACAAAGGAGGTTTGGAGAGGCGGGATCAGTCTCCAATATCGGCGGGCGGAGAGAGCCAGCCGCTGGACTCTCCCGGGGTGAAACTCAATAAATTCACAGCGTCTCCTTCAGGGTGGGAATGACCGGAGAATGTACCAAAATAAGAACTCAGAGAAACGAGTAAGTTTGGGAACAGAGCTGCAGATTGCACGGACTCCGACGTTGCGCCCTTCCCGGAGGCATGCCTTCATCCGTGCGGTACCTCTTTGCCGTTTCTGTGTCCAGTGTCATCATCTTCATCGTGCTCTACGTGTTCAGTTTCGGGGGCGATCAAAGCTTCCAGAGACTGAATATCTCAGACTCTTTGATGCTGACTCAGGTGTGCGCCTCCTTCATCAATGGGAAAACCCCTTTCCTGTGGAGAAACAAACTCATGATCCAAGAGAAGCCTTCCTGCAAGGAATACTTGACCCAAAGCCACTACATCACAGCCCCTTTATCTAAAGAAGAAGCTCACTTTCCTTTGGCGTATATAATGGTCGTCCATCACCATTTTGATACCTTCGCGAGGCTCTTCAGGGCTGTTTACATGCCTCAGAATATCTACTGTGTTCATGTAGATGAAAAGGCAACAGTTGCATTTAAAGAAGCGGTGGAACAACTCCTGAGCTGCTTCCCAAACGCTTTTCTGGCTTCCAAGATGGAGCCAGTGGTCTACGGTGGGATCTCCAGGCTGCAAGCGGATCTGAACTGCATCAAAGATCTGTCAGCCTCGGAGATCTCTTGGAAGTACGTCATCAACACCTGTGGGCAAGATTTCCCCCTGAAAACCAACAAGGAAATAGTTCAGTATCTGAAAGGATTTAAAGGGAAAAACATTACCCCAGGAGTGCTGCCCCCGGCACACGCAATTGGCCGGACTAAGTATGTCCACCGCGAGCACCTGAGCAAAGAGCTTTCCTATGTGATAAGAACAGCGGCGTTGAAGCCGCCTCCCCCCCATAATCTCACCATTTACTTTGGCTCTGCCTATGTTGCCCTGTCAAGAGAGTTTGCCAAATTTGTCCTCCATGACCCTCGGGCTATCGATTTGCTTCAGTGGTCCAAGGACACTTTCAGTCCTGATGAACATTTCTGGGTGACACTCAACAGAATTCCAGGTATGTGAGATTCCATGTTTCTCGCCAAAGACAGGTGCGGTGTTTGGAAGAACCAGACTTTTTTTTTTTTTAGCAAGTACAGGATGAAAACTGACTTGTATATAGTTCTCACCCTAGTCTTTTCTAAACGTAGAATGATGTTCTTTGTGCAATAATTCAAATGGCTTAACGTGACCAAATAATAACTTTCAGTGGGGTCACCAAGCAGTTCAAGTTCTTTTGCATACATCTTCTTATTCAGTCTTTGATATGTTCAGTACCATTGTTCTCCCAGTGTCCCTCTTTATACATTTGTTAAACTTGCTCTTCCCCTGCGGTCTTTGCCTGGGCAGCCTCCTGCGTACTCCAGGCCTCTGTAGGCTCCTTCCCCTCAGCCAGATCCCAGCTCTCAGATGCGGCCAGCTCTGACCACCCACTTGTCATTGGCCCCCATACCACCCTGTTTTCCCTTTGAAGAGCTTATCACTATCCGGAATTACCATATTTACCTATCTGCCTGGTCTTATTCTAGATCTCCTCTGCTCTAGCTTGATGAAGCCAGGGTCATTTTCCAGGGTCCTTAATGCTTAGGACACATAGTAAATGTTGAATAAATATACATTAGATGAATGAATGAGTGAGTGAATGAATGAATGGATGAATGGCAAAGCATGAGGCTTTACTGGATACCATCGCTGTCTCCCTCAGATCCAGTGAACTAAAACATATTTGGACTCAGGCATGCACTGTATCAGGCATGTAGGGTTTTTTTTTTTTAAATACATTTTATTTCAGAAAAAAATGACATTCTAGAGGAAACTTTATCCTCTCTCATCAAAATGTTTCTACCTTTAATGATACTTACCAGCTCGGTCATTTTTTAAATTGTGCAAAGCATGATAGGATTTCTTCTGAAGGAAATAGTGTGTTTGGACTCAATGAAAAATACAAAATGGATCTCTGATGAACTAGACAGCATTATTGTAATGAGAGAAAAGCAATCATTGTTCGGGTTGTTGGGGGCCTGCCAAGTTGGAAACACTGGTAGGTGCTCTCAGGCTGCAGGGCAGGGCCTGCCGGCTGATAAACACACCAGCATTCTCTGGAAAATACCATGTTTGGTCTCTGAATCCCAGCGGGGCTTGCCTGGGGAGCAGGGCTCCCTCGGTACTCTGCATTTTCTCTTTTTCCTAAGTCTCCTTTTCCTAACCAGTGGTCACCATCTTTTCACTTTTGATCTGTTGTTTCCATCACCAGCATATAATTTAGGAGCATTAGGCACTTAGAGACTGATGTTCAGACTTAAATATTTATTCCCTGTCTATTTTCACCATTCCTTTAAAATTCATAAGTTGGTTCTTAGCCATGTGGTTCCTTAGGTACTGCACTGAGATGAAGCCTTTAAATAACAAAGTGTGAATTGCCACTTTAAAAAAAAAAGAGGAAAAAAAGGAAAAAAGAAAAACTTGGTTTGGGCTTGCGTTAAATATCCTTGGTTACTTTGTCTGAAGAATGGACAGTTTTATTACTGTCAAGTCAGTATAAGAAAATCAAGGAAAGAAGACTCTCCTGTTTTTCCTGAGCTCCCTTCCTCTTTTCTACTCCAGTCAAATAGATAATGCATCTCAGTCTCTGGTGAGAGCAAGAATGATACCTGGATAGGTGCAAGAGAGAAGACCTTTTTTGTTGTGTGTTTGTGGCTTGGCTCCTCTGCTTCTGCCCACTCACAGCAACAATGTAACCCCACGTATATCTCAGAACCTCATGGAACCTCAAATCTCTCCAGCTGCAACATGAGGGACCAGGGTAGGAAGGCCCTTTTTGTTCCCACACATACCTTTCTTTGCAGAAGATGCAAAGCCCAGAACCACATAAAAACTTCAGTGACTACTGGGAATCTGTAGAGAGAAAGCCTGGACTCCGCATTGCCCGCATTGCCCTTTAGCGTTGGAAGTGAAAGCCCCTCTACAAAGCATCTCTCCAGAGAGGAAGGAGACTATGGTCCATGTCAGTGTCCGGTCCCAGCTGATTCTGCAAGGAATGCATTTCAGGATAATGTGCTGTTTCCTGGAGCTTTGCCTCTTTCCTTTCTTAGACTGTGGGCAACATCCTGGTTCAGGGAGAAAGAATATCCTGCTCCGAGGTGGGGCCTTTCCAAAATTACACGTGAATTAAAGCAAACAAATCATCAAATGCTCTGGTGGTGGCTCCCCCCACCTTCAAAGGCAATGTAATCTCACGCTCGAGTAACTCCAGCGGTTTTACGCTTGAGCATTCCTTGTGATTTAAGATTTGGAGTGTGACTTGGTGCTTTATAGCCAGACAGCCTTTCATCCTATCAGCTCTTCTGTTTCCCATGCCATGTTAAGGGGAACAGGTCTTCTGTACACACAGCATAAACATCTTTCTTGCAAACCTGTGCGTACAGATGATGCTGTTCATTTCTCCCTTTAAAGTGACTGTATCCCTTTCTCCTAAAGTATGTGTGTTACAAAGAGCCTGTGCAGGCACCTCGGGTTTCCCAGAACACCCCCAAGAGCAATCAGTAATATAACCAAGAAAATGATGAGCATGCTAGAATTAGATGGTATCGGAAAATAAAGTAGAAATCAGATAGAATGGGTAAGACTGAGCAGGAAGGATGTTCACAGAAGTAGCACGCATCACGTGGCGTCATGCTGTCCTTTCCCCCAGTAGTACCATTCTCATGAGAAAATAATTTCTCTCTTGGTTTTCAACCACTGTGTTAGAAATGGTGATAGAACAGGCCAGGAAGAGGTTCTTGAGGGTTCCAGTCTCACGCTCTGCAGGGGAGCCAGGGAGCCCAGCTGTCACCCTTCTAGGTGGCCTCTGTGCAGGTGGGGTGTCTAGCCCTCTCCTTTCTGGCCACATCCTCAAAGGAAACCCTCTCGGATCACAGATTCCTCTTTGTCGGGCTACAGAGCATCAGACCCTGACGGCAGTCACTGACTCTCACTTCTGGGACACCCTTATATTTTCTACTTTTCAGATCTTTTCATTATTGCTCTGTCACCTTAAGAGAAGCCCATTTTCTCTAACTCTTCTGTTTATTCTTCTAGCACATTCCTCTGCCTGCCTGCCCCAAGGAAGAGCACCTGAGGCCATTTAGACTGTTGCTTTACAGCTTGTGAAATTGTTCAGCACCCGCCCTAGCGGCCGCCGGTCCACTTTCCACACAGTCGGTTCCCAGGGCTGGACTGTCTGCCCCACCCCCTCGGCCGGTCCAGCTGTAAGGAAAAGGCACGGCCACCGCCTACTGCTTTTCCCTCTCTGTGTTAAGTTTGTTCTTTTGAATCTTTGCTCATTCACCACCCTGACCTTTCTCATGCCGGGATGTTTGGGTTCCATAAGAATGTTTTCATTTGTCTCTCTTCCTTTTTCCACTTTGTGTACATTTTTTTCCTTCAGAGGGCCCTTTGTCAGATCCTCTCGACCTCAGAAGGGACCACATGATCACATTTCCTCATTTTTTAAATTCTAAAAGTAGCCTGTTTCCTACTTCGTTTTTTTTTGTTTGTTTTTTTTTTTTCTTTTTTAACTATGACCTTTGTTTACATATGCACATTCTTTGGGAGAGTGTTACAACTCTATAGGTTGCAAGTGTCAGAAACTCAACTCAGAGTAGCTTAAACAAACACCGGCGGCTGGTCACATATCTGAGACACCCAGGCAGCTCCCAATCAAGCTGGATCTGTAGTTCCAACAGTGTGTCCAGGTCTCTTTCTTGCCAGCTTGTCTCTCTGTGGGGTGACCAACTATCCCTGTTTGCCCAGGTCTGTCTTCAGGGTGGGACTTTCATGGGCAGAACTGGAAAAGTCCCTGGCTAGCTGGGTAGAGTTGGTTACCCCACCTCTCTGCCCTGTTTTGGCTTCATTCAGTTGGTTCTGTCCCACAGTGAATCAGCGGTGGCCAGAAGGAGCTCCAGGCTTACCTTTGACATCTGGCTCTCTGGGGATGGGGGAAGAAAGTCTTTTTTTTTTTCTGGTACTTCCAGCAACTGCCCCCTCTCCCCTCAGGAGACTTCAGATTGATCTTATGTGGTCTGGATTCCTAAACCTAAATCAATTGGGTGACCACCCTTTCTTTGGTTACTGTCCCACCCTGGAGCTGAAGGATGGGACAGGCCCTGTTGGAGGATGGCTCCTCAGAGAGATGCTGGGAAGACATGTGCCCACACAGGATGGTTCCTTATCCTCCAGAGGGCAGGTGTTAATGAGCATGTCCACATGACCTTAGAGGGGCAAGACGTAGTGATTAAAGAAGGGCCTGCTGCTTTAACAACTTGAGTGATTTTAAGTGATCCCAGTAACCACATCCTTTACCTTCATATAAACACGTTTACAAGAAATGTC